GTCCAGACCGGTTCAGACCGGCTGGACCGGTTCAGCCCTATTTTCATGTTTCAGTCACAGTTCTTGATTTCAGTGCCATTTTCAGTTAAAAATTGCGGGTCCAATTCAGTCCAGTAAATTAATATCAGTTCAGTTTCATATTTAACCGGTTCAGTCCTATTTTTAAATCGGTTCAGCCCCATTTTAAATCGGTTCGGTTCATATGTTAAGTGTTCAGCCCGGTTCATGATTTTAATGATATTTTCAGTTAAATTTCCAGGATTATTTCAGTTCAGTAAATTCATGTCCGATCGGTTCATGTCAGTTCAGTTCCGGTTATTCCGGTTAAGTTTAAATATCATGTCAGGTTCAGTAGAGCATCTTAACGAAATTAATTAGTTAAGTTAACAATCTGAGCATAGTCATTAGTAATTGTTTATATTATTTTCAGTTTCAGTTCAGCAGTTCAGGTGGGGACTCAGACTAAGTACTACATGTATTATAATTACGGTACCATGTTTGAGGTATGTATTTCATTTGAGGTATCCGCTCGGAATGGTCGCCGGTCCATTCTGGGTTCTAGTGGCCCTAGTCTACCCACTAGAGTGTGCACATGGTGTCCGGCTTTGCCGACAGATGAGGTAACGGTCAGGGTCACGTTTGCGTGACGATTTCAGATTCATGTTCATGTTATTACCGGCTTAAGGTTGAGGTTATGTATATACTGATATCATGATGTTGCTATTATTTTCAATGTTTACATTAGTATGAGTTTCCACGGAGCACAGTGCCATAGTGCTCATTTCCCACTTTTATCATGTTTTCAGGTCAGGATGTCGGGCAGGGAGCGTGACGTGACGGAGGCTTCAGGACATTTATGTTTCGACTGTATATGTATATTGATGATTTACGCTTCCGCTAATGATGTTTGATGACTTTTGAAGAACTTACATTTTGACCGGACTTTTGGAAAACTTTATGTTTCAGTATCAGGATGATTTTATTAAAACTTAAAATAACGGTTTTCCAAATTAAGTCATGTTTTAAGGTAGCACCCCTAATCAGTTTTCGCAAAGTAAAAAGGTTTTATTTTAAAAGGCTTTGCGAAACTTTCGCACTCTGATTTTACGATAAGGAGGGGTGTTACAGTATTTGTGGTACCCATCAAGGAGCACAAACTTTATCTCATAAAATTCTCCGACAAGGTTATTATTGGCCGACCATTAGAAAAGATGCAGCCGATTGGGTACGAAAATGCCATAAACGCCAGATATTTGCGCCCAACGTGAATCAACATCCTGAACTCCTCAAGTCAATTTATAGTCCATGGCCGTTTGCGAAGTGGGGGATTGATCTTATCGGCCCCCTTCCAACAGCAAAAGGAGGTGTCCGCTTTGCCGTACTGGCCGTTGATTATTTCACCAAATGGGTAGAAGCCGAACCTCTTGCCACTATTGTAACACCCCGCTCATCAGAGTAAATTTTTCGCAACTTATTTCGAAACATAC